GAATATTCAAGCAGTTGTCGGAAGGTACATTACAGCTACCGACGGAACCGGATTCGTCTATGCAAGTTGATGAGCCCCAGATTGCTGCACAGGCGTCATCATCTTCATTGCAGCCTGCCCCGATAATAAAGGCTATAACGTCTTCCCTTTCATTTCCCACTTCATCCCCTCATTCCATAGCTCATTTCCTCAACGCCCACCCCGACCCTCTTACGTCCACACAGCTGGCTCCTCTCTGCATAACCTCGGCCGACTTCACCGTCGCCCTGACCCAGGTTCAGCCCTCTTCCAAGCGAGAAGGTTTTGCTACCGTGCCCGATGTCTCGTGGTCGGATATTGGTGCCTTGCATCGTACCCGAGATGAGCTACATATGGCTATCGTTCAGCCTATCAAACGACCGGAGCTGTTCAGTGCTGTTGGCATAGAGGCAGCATGTGGGGTATTACTCTGGGGACCACCAGGATGTGGGAAGACATTGCTGGCTAAAGCTGTTGCGAATGAATCTCGAGCGAACTTTATCAGCGTCAAAGGCCCGGAACTCTTGAATAAGGTAGCTTCAAGCAAGCTTTCCTTCTAATTACCCTAAGCTCACGTCGTTCCTCAGTATGTTGGTGAAAGCGAGAGAGCAGTACGTCAAGTCTTTTCGCGAGCCCGAGCATCATCTCCTTGTGTCATCTTCTTTGATGAGCTTGATGCACTCGTCCCTCGGCGTGATGACAGTCTTGTAGGTCACATTCTCTTGTCGTGTTGAACGCCATTATCTGATCATTTCGCCAGTCTGAATCATCAGCTCGGGTCGTGAATACCCTCTTGACCGAGCTTGATGGACTAGATGCCCGTAAAAGCGTGTATGTCATTGCCGCTACCAACCGTCCTGATATGATAGACCCTGCCATGGTTCGGCCAGGACGTCTTGACAAGCTGCTCTACGTGGACCTCCCCAATGGTGATGAACGTGCTGAGATCGTTCGCACTATGACGCGGAAGGTACCTCTTGCTGGTGATGGAAGCGAGTCACTAGACGCTGTCCTAAGTCAGGTGGAGGACTTTGTTCGCGAGCGCTGCGATGGATTCAGTGGTGCCGATCTGGCCGCTTTGGTTCGTGAAGCAGGTGTCACCGCCTTGCGCCGAACGCTTGGTGTGCTGGATCATATGGATGATGATACGAGAGGGCCCGAAGAGAGGCCAAAGGTCACGGTCCATATCGCTGACTTCAGTGCCGCCTTGGAGAAAGTCGGGCCAAGTGTTAGCCCTCAGCAAAAGAAGAGGTACGAAGCCTTGAAATCCAAATTAGCAGGCTCGCCCGTGAAGATGGTGAAAGACGAGGTAAAAGGTGTAGAGGGAGAGGCGCAAGCGTAAATGACATTCATCCGAGTATGGATTCGAATGATATCACACTTTGACGGTAAAACTGATCACGCTTGGGTCTTTCGTAAAGCGGAGAGTATATCGGGAAGAGCTACAAGTGTAAGTTATATACAGAGTGAACAGTAAATGCAGCGAAGGTAAGATGACTGAGGTAAGTGCTAACCTATATCAAGACGGACAGGAGGTCAGGTACTAGAAAAATAACAGAGAGTGCGACAAGTAAATAAAATATGCCAGTGGGTGGATGCGACTCTTCGACATTCCGATGTGTTACTATCTTCAACTCCAGGTCGGCGGGTGGATACGGGTGTTCAACACTTCCACGCGTTACTATCAGGTCGGCGGGTGGATGCGAGGGTTCAACATTCCAATGCGTCGCATCCTTTCTCACCAACTCCTCTTTGGTGTCAATGGGGGGATGGGAGTTTTCAACATCTGGATCTATTACCATCTCCAACTCCAGATCAGCGGGGGGAAGCCCGTGTTCGGCACTTCGATGTGTTACTTCCTTTCTCACCAACTCCTTTTGGGTGTTGTTGGAGAGTAACGTTTTTTCTGCAATCCGGTGCATCAGTTTCTTACTCACCAACTCCTTGACGATTCGCCATCCTTCCTCACCAGGAGAAGCCATCTTCCTGTCCCGGCGGAAATCGTCCCCAAGCAGATCGATGTCAACACCATATTCCTTTCTCAGCTGCGTCTTCAGCTGATCCTCCGAAATGCTAGCTGGCGCCAAGGCTTGCAAGATCCCATACATGCCGAGGACGGCGGCAGGATCACCGTTTATCATCGCTGCGAACCTTCAGCTGCGGGAATCAAACAATTGAAAGATATGGAATACCTTGCCGCCGCATAGCGGTGAACGTGACCTTATCTTCAGGAGCGGCAACCATGAGGAGAGATATCACTTCAGCAAACAGTATCCCCCTCACCTGTAATATCCGGGATGTCAATGCCTATGTCGTCGAACGGACGCGGCCGCATGTACTACGGAATTGTGAGCTATTTGTCTCTCCATCGGAAACGCGTACTTTTCGACTTACAACGTAATCACATGGCGTCGGCTTGGTGATGAAAGAAATTTGGTGCAGCAAGTCTGGTGATCGTTTGAAAGACGGGTCTGGGGGCGGAATGCCACTCTCAAGCTCTGTGACCTCTGTCTCCGAGTCCGGGATACCCTCACTGGGCTTCTCTTCGTCAAAAGTGACTTTTCCGCAGATGGCTTTGTGAGGTCTAGGGAATCCGTGCTTCCAATCTGTCTTCTGGCATTCACTACCGTAGGATGAATAAGTCAGCACTGCGAGTTGGCAACAAATATACCCAAACGGACACTGAACAGTATCTCACCACTCGATCCACGGCTTTGCATTTACTACAGATTCGAAAACGCTCCCCTCCGCCAGACATGTCTTCTTTGCGGCTGCAATAGAAGCATATATTTTGGTGATTTTCAGCCTCTTTTCGACGAGAATAATCCCGCATGTCTTTCGAAAACTGAGGAAGCCTTCCTTCGTCCTTGTAGAATTTCTTGGCTTGGCGTAAGACGTCCTTGCTGGGTCTGCTATTGTCGCGGTACAGCGGCTTTGCTACTTGCATCTCCTCTCTGTTACCGTACTGGCGCTACTATTCAGTCCTTGTCGATGCCCAAGCAGAAGAGCTCACAAATGCGTTTAGGATGCTCCATACGGTCATGGTAATGAAATAGCTTCTTTTCAACCGATATCCGTCGAATATCTGTCTAAGCACGATATCGTTGGTCTTGACCAGATCCTCGAATGCGGGATTCGCCAAGAGCAGCGGAGTGCTAAGTGTTTCTTTGACTTGATCGTCGGGAAGGAGCATTTTCAGAAGGTGGATGAAGTTTCTATCGTTTGTTCCCGAAAGCGTAGCGACGGTCATTTCGGGACACCATAGCCGCCAGTTCTCCATGCCATTTGGAACACAGGCAGTCACATACAACCCTTCGAGGACCAATTCTTCCCGTCGCTGCTGCGACAACGATCTCCACCTTTCCTCCAAGTTGTCGTTGCTCAATCCCGTTACGGCAGCTTGAGCCAAGTCTCGCTGAAGAAGACACATTTCCTTGGTTCGGATGTCTTTCTCTAACTGTGATGATAGCAGGGATTCAGTATCTCTGAGAAAACGAATACTCTGGGGAGACATGACACTGGTCATAGCTGGAGGTTTTTGTCCTGGGGGATATCTATCCAAAAGCTCGTCTTCCCAGCTTTTGTTCCATGCTTGACGATATTTGTGTTTGTCCGGGCGAAGTTGGGGCATGGTCTAGTATAGCGGTAGTTACAGTAAGTTGTCGATGGTGGGAGCTTCAGGTGCGGGAACAACGTTTAAAGACAATTCAGCAACGTTACGTACACGTGAAAACCTGATGGTTAACGCCACGAGGAATATGTGCGAAGGAATAGACTAAGAAGTGCATCGAAGCACAGAACAACATTTAGCTTTGCCTTTGGAATATCGCAGTGGAAGGTCCAAGAAAAGGTTATTTCCAGTAACAGTTTGAAACGAATAACTTACTACGCTGTAATGATACTTGAACATGATGCTTCTTCGCGCAATCACTTTGAACGTAAGAGGGAAGCAGGTTTTAGAAATTCACTGCAGTGACTCGGAATACAATGAATAGGACATCTTCAGCGACTTCTAGTCTCTAGACAGGAATGAATCATTCATTATAAATGCCCTGATCCCAACCGACGATATCTGAAGAACTGGGCAAAAAGCAGCTTTTATGCAGCGGCAAAGAGAGTTCGAAGTCTGCATAAACCAATGGCTGCTTATTTAAAGTCAGGGTCGGTTGAACCGGTTCCTTGATCGTAGCTCACTGAAAAGAAACCGAAAGACAACCTCCCTTCTACATAGCCTCGAAGACCGAGGCTCACTAACAAACGATTACTTCAACAAGACTAACGGTTAACGTATGCTCAACGCGCTCCGTAGGGCTGCGCACGAAACCTCCGGGGGTGTAAGATACGGTTTTATACCGACCCCCCTTGGAGAGGGGTGTTTTGATACGGTAATTTACTGTTACTTACCCTATCACGTGCATAATCACATGCCTGACGCGCGTCATTTGCAAAAATTTCGCAGCATCTTCATCTTCGTATTCTTCTACACATTTTTCTGTCTCCTGAAGTGTGATTCATTGAAAGTTACTAAAGAGATATGTTTTAAGCTGTAAATAAAATATAACTACACTAGGATTGAATATAGTGGTAATATTGATGCTGAAATGTCATCACATGACAGGTAAGTTACCTCGACGAAAACCCCTCCAGCGAGGGGAGGTAAATTACCAGTAACTTACCGGTCCGAAACCCTAGTATATCAAAACCTAGGGTTTTGTGCGCAACCCTAGCGCTCCGTTTCAGAGCGCGTTCTAAGTCCTTTGAAGTTTGGGTCCTTTCCTTGGCTGGAAACAAAACTTGACAGAAAGGGGATTCGAACCCCTGCCATCATACGATGATGAGAAACCCGGATCGGGCAAGCCGTATTATGCAATGATTACATAATCTAAACTTAATATCTAGGCTGTAAACTTTCGTGCGCTACGGTCTACCGACTCTACCTAGTACTCTAGTTACTAGTATTTCAACCAACAAAATTGCAAAAGTGACAAGAGTGGGACTTGAACCCACGCCACGATACCGTGATGAGAAACCCGAGTTCAGGTAAGCCGCTCCACAATTACGTAATTGATTACATAATTTAGGACAACTTGAGTCACACGCCTTAACCGCTCGGCCATCTTGCCATAACATGTAGTGTCTTATGGGTAGCTAATAAAAGTAAATAAGCCTGTTCTCTAATTGGTCCTCATGGTACCGGGAGACAAGGCTGGATCGATTTCTAGGAGCTCTTTGAGGGCATCCTCAAGCTGCTGGAGCCCTCAGCCAGTCTCTGATCCGAGTGCCTGAGGAGTTGGGTGGTGGATCCATGGGGAAAGGAAGAGGGTTTGAGCCCCAGAGTGGGGTTGGAATCACATGAGGACGACCACCTTCGAAGCACGTCGTCAGCGTCGTCAACAGTCGGTCTGTCACGTCACGGGCAGAGCGTTACAAGTTAGTCTGACGATCACGACCTGTCATGTCACATGCCATCACCGCTCGCGCTTATGCTCGCCGCGTATCCCTGCCTCTCCCAAAAAGATATACAGGTGGACCATCGCTTTCTCGGTGCTCGATGCCCAACAGGATATCCAGGTGGACCAGAGTCAGCTCGGTCGCGGAGGCGAGCATAGGCTCGTTCGCGCCACCATTTTCGCCCAACAGGATATCCAGGCGGCTCATTGAAAATTTAAAATACCAGAGTCACACGCCTTGGACCGCTCGGCCATTCTGCCACATAGTTTCTTGTATTATGTACGATAAAGTACTGGTATCCGTCAGCAGTGAAGCCACTTAGCAGCGGTGAATCCAACTTGCTTCTCGCCACTACCATGTCTCTGGTGGACCAAGCCTGGGAACTAGCAGGGAAACTCGCTAAGCATGCCTCTGACTTGCCTCAAGCTCCTTTGTCTCCCGGAACGAGACGTGCCATCTGCTCAGCTAGTTACTCTATGGCGACGTCTATAACGAGGATCTTGCGTGTGACAGAGCCAGAAGGAACCTACGACGAGGATGATCTTCCGAGCACACCTCCAAATGAACCAGTTCAAGATCAGCTGTCGCCATCTCGCTCAGTTGTGGTGCCGTCACCTTCTGCCGTGATTGCTCCTCAGAAAGTGGTATGGGCTTTCTTTCTCTGATTCCTTCGCAGCTCACAATAGCTACAGAACGTAGGAAAGGTCTGTCCACCGCTCAACAACTGTATATATGCGCTCAATAATCTGTTCAGCGGACAGCCTGCCAAGACGAGACTACCGAGAGATATTGTTGCAGAGCGTATCGACAACCTTCTCGAAGCCGAACACCCACCTATCACCCTCAATGAAATCAAAGATATCTTTATGGGAACGCCTATCCGAGACCACCAGAAGCGCGAGCAAAAGGCATTCTCTCGCCTTATTTGTCGCTATGAACCTGTTAGCACGAAGGATTTAGTGAGTCTCTGTACGAACGGCTGCAACACGTATGCTTATTTAGTGCTAGTCAGACGCATTTCCGCTTTCACTACGCCCATCGGAGCATACATTCGCGCGCACGTTTATCAATCTGAGTAAATTTCATAGTGAAAAGGACGTTTACAAGCGCTTGCTGGGCCGAGACCAGGTGCGCATTGTTCTAGCTTTCTTATGAACTGTTTTTAATTCTTTGCCAGCATCTGTTGTCTTTCAGCGACTCTCAGCCGCTCTCTGGCTTGATCTACTATGTCTTGCACACTATGGCTTCGTTACAATGGGCTCTCGACTACTCGTCACAGTCAGCTGAAGACAAGACAGCATACGTTGAAGACCTCTGCGCCGTCATGCGTAAATCCGATCTGGACAAGGCTGGAAATGCTGATGCTCGAGGGGCTATATTCTCTGCTTTCAAGGCGCAACATCGCAAGCACGTCACTTTTCGAAATTCCCTCATCAAGCTCTATCAATTGGTAGGCACCATACCATGTTCTATCGAGTGACGCGTCTAATCGACGAACCAGGTTTGGCATCTCTATTTTCTTGGACCCCAGCCTCTACGCATCTAAACTATCCGGATTGCCAGCGCACTCGGCAACATTTGGATCAACAGTCTCGGCTTTGGCAGATGATCCCCGTAGTCAAACGACTAGCCAATGACCCAGTACGTCGTCAAGATAATAGGACACTCTTCCTCCGCGTGATGACTTTATTTGGGACCAACGCTGTAGGCGCATACATCCATGATTTTCTTGCACTTGTTCCAGAGGACTTTGTACTAGAGATAGACCATTAGAATTCCAATAGACTGCTTGCTCAGAAACGGGAGCGCGAAATAAGGGGCTCCGAGCGGTATTCGAACCAAGAGTATTCAAACCAAGGAGTGCTATAAAGTGCGCTCTGAATCGGAGCGTGCCCTAAACCCTGGTTGTCCTCTTACCACCACGTAGGTCTTTCTCTCTTTCTACCCGACGCACTGCTAATTCCTTTCAGACATGGCGTCTGCAGAAGGATCTCGCACGACTTGTTCTGTCGATGAGGAGACCAAAACGATTGCCGCACGTCTCGTCTCTGACATTCTGGACAGATACTGCAAGAATGAGAAGAAGCTCTCGGACGGACGCCTGTTGGAAACGGAAAAGGTGACGCAGATGTTGAAAGTACAAAAGGCAGCGTCGGAAGCGCAAAAGGCAGCTTCAGATGCGATGCGTTTGGCGGAGGAGGCGCGTCTCTCTACTCTCAAGTTTGCGTTTAAGCATAAGCTTGGTGAGTCTTGTTTTCCTGCGCGAACCTGCGTTCTCATTCTATTTGTAGGTTTGACATCCGATGAGCTAGTCGTATCGAAAGCTCTTGTTCCTGCTGCCGTTCCCGTTCCTGCTCCAGTTTTCGCTCAGCCTGCTCCTGCAATGCCTCAAACTCTATCGTCTCTTCAATCGCAGCCTTAGCCTCTTTCTTTCCAGCAAATGCAGAACTCCAGTCAATGATGTTCATGTATCCTCAGCAGGCAGCCAACTCTATCCTCAGCCATTCTCGCAAGCCAATCCTCAGCCTGTAGTTGCCAATCCCCAGTCTGTAGTCTCGCAGCAGCTGCTTGATTCTCTTATTCCGCTCGAAACCTAGGTGTTCAGCTTGATTCTCGTATTCCATTCAAAACCTACGTGTTATAAAAACGTCGTTTACAATCATGTGTCTAAAGCTTTCGTTGCTATCATAAGAGTAACATTCAAAATCATCTGCACTGCACCCTGTAGCTGCCTGTCGCCATTTCTCCAAGTATGTGTGTCGACTCTTGAACTGTTTCGAGTGCCAATGGTCGCTCGTCGGGTGGCGGATGATTCTTCTGCAACCAGTCAACGAAGCGATGGCGTGTACCGTCACGAGCATGGCGATGCTTTCTCTTGCTTCGAAAAAATTCGGCTCACCTGGACTGTTTATCGCATATAGCACAGCTGTCGTCATCTGTAAGACCTTCGCCCGGATAGCAGACAATACGTTTGGTGCGAGGAAGCTTTGTCAACGCGAGGTATTTGTCGGCAAACTTGACAATGGAATCGCTGCGGGTGGTGGCTGTTGTGTCGGTTTCGAAAACGTCATGGCAAAGTCGCAGAGCGCCTTGTTCCGGAGGACGGCCTTGGCAGATGGTGTTTTGTGAGGTTCAGCAATAAGAGATGACGTTACTTTTCCTTTTCCCGGTTTGGTGATCGGCAAAATGGTGACACTGGTAGTCTAGAAATTGTGTCCGACGTTCAGCGGTACGACTGGTTTCTTCGCGGCGTATGGCGTTTTGACGCTTTGTAGTGATTTTCTTCTTGTCGCTTTTCAATAGAATGATCTGTTCTTCGATCTCTGTTTCAAGTCTCGTTTGTAATGTCTGGGCATGTCAATTGCTTGGATAAGGATGCGATCTGGTTGGCGAGCTAGGAAAACATGAGCCGGTGGAGCAAGCAGGAGGATCGATGGTTACCTCTTTGCGCTCATTGTCCATCTCGACGAGTTCTAGTTCGGCCAGTAGTGCAGCTTTGCCCTCTGGGGTCAAGCCTATGGGCACGTTTTCGTCTCGACGGGCCGACATGTCCATCAAAGCCTGATACAGTTAGTAGATGCAACGGTGTTCAATAAAGCACAAACCTTTCCGGCCTTTACATCCTCGACATTCTCATCACGGTCTTGAAGGATGGCACCGAGGTCTGTACCTATGAAGCAGCTTGTGTAGGAAGTCTAAAAGGGAGTCAAGCGATGCCGTGAATGATCAACAAGACGTACATCAAACTTGGCCGATCCTTCAGTGTGGCCCATTAACGTGTTTCGGTCTTGTTTGGTCATTTCTCGAGATATGCGATTAGGAGCTCCACGGCGGCAGCAGTAACAAGTTACATGGCCTGAGGAGAGCTGGGTGAGAGTACAACCGGTGAATGGCTGGGACGTACGGATGAATCCCTTGTTTATGCCCACGCGTCGAAGATGACTGCTGAGAGCAGCATAGGTCAAAGCACGAGTAGGTGAGGTGATCCATGCACAGCTGTCAAAGATGTCGGAGCGAAGAGCTGGCGTGTGGCGGCTTCGGGGTGCATTGAGAGTATGTGGTGAACAGTTGGGGAATTTCTGGGATGGAAGATGTCGTTGGCTGTCTTGATGTGAGGAAAGATGTTGTCCTCGATGGCCATGGCGGCGATGAGGGAAACGGGGCAAAGGGCGCGAGAGTGTGTCTCTGGCATGAGAAGGAACTCCTTGTAGCTAGCGTTATTCTTGCGTTATCCCTTGAGAAGGTGGATTTGATGCGTATGAGGATGACGGGGCTGTGAGGATCGTCAGGGTTTGGTAAGACGTGAAACTCGTGGTCGCGCCACATGAGAGCCTCGTTGGTGCCGGAATGACTGGAAGACTCGATTATGGCGCCGGGACGTTCCGAGAGGCTCTGGAGAAGAAGGGCGTACAGGACCTGGAGCATCATGCGAGCTGTCCTGAATCCCTCGGTGTCTTCGAATATACCGCGGGCCATGATCTCGAAATCAGTGGCGCTGAGGAGATACTTTTCGTGTGCGTCGGTGGAGAGGAGTGCGATCTCCTCGAGGTCTTCAGAGTCGATGTAGGCAAGGACTTGCTGACGAACACCGGGGGTGGAGTGCTTCTCGACGCCAGATGCTGAAGACCTGGCGCACGAAACGGATGGTATTCTTGACGGCGTAGAGGCCGAG